AAGAAATTTCAGCAGAAAAACTACACCGAGCCTGATCCTGCTCAAAGGTGGATGGTTTAAATATGAAGTGAGACCTCAACCCGGGACCGGGACATACAAAGATCAGTGCAACTGTTAATTTTATGCGAGAACAATTATTGAAACTGCAGTAGACAACAGCCGTCAGCCAACCTGTCATCCGAGTAGTCACTATCATAATCTCTATTTCGAATAGGAGAGACTAGTTTTTAAAAGGCTTTACCGAGGATAATGGATACCCACAAACTAAAACCTCCTTGAAATTGTCTGCCCTATGTACTTATTACTTATAATATGCTTTTAAATGGCGGTATAGGTAGGTGATCAGAGCGGTACCCCCCTACCTGCTCCTGCTACACCTACTCCTGCTCCTGCTGCAGCTGCAGCAGCTGCACCTAGCCTGCAGCAGATGCGCCTGATGCTGGACCTGATCCTGCTCCTTATCCTTATAATTCGTCCAAGTTTCCGGATTAGCTTCATGAAAGGCTAGCCTATTACAAGAATCTAAGTCCTGTGCGTATTGCTAAAAATGTCGAGGAACTTTTACTATCAAAAGTTCAACAAGGTCTATTTGTTAGACAGGGTACCTACTCATCGCAGGTTCTTCTATGTTTATTACAGGGCTACTGAACATTTAAGTCCTATCCCCATTCACTCAGAGCCTATACTTCAAACAATAATCGTAGTAGAAGTACTTTAGTAATGTTTAGTAAGGTTTATGAAATCTCATAGTACTACTTATCTTATAATGAGTTTATATATAAGTGTGTTAATAAGTTTATAAAACAGTACAATAATAAACAACACCCCGGGGCTGTTGGCTGCACCGCCAGTAGGGGCAGCCGCCCCCTACTGGTGATAGTAGTAGTAGCATATCTTATGCGAGAACAATTATAGATGGAGAGTTGTTATTATCAAATTCATAACTTAGAATTGGAGAGACCCATTTTTAAAGGCTTTACCGAGGATAACAGATACCCCCAAACTAAAACCTCCGCGTCTGCCCAATAATCAATATGTATTAATACTTTTAAATAGTGGTATAATAGCAGGAGCTTTGAGTATTCAACTGACATTTTCAGGCAAGAAAACATTGAATGCATCCCTTGTAGTAAAACTCGGAATAACACAATTTACAAGTCCAAAACCTTACACCACACAGACCCCAATCAAGTTAAGAGCTGCAGGTTAAAACCTTGATTAAAAGTCCAGGATTTGGAAATATTAGGAACTGTTCACACATATTGTGTGAACAGTTCTAGAGCTGAGGTTGTCGTCCATTCAACACGTATTAAAGAGACCAGCTTTAAGGTTTTATCAAATTACCCTCAAAGAAGAAGCATCCCTGTTAGTTCTAGTTACAGTATATAAAATGGTGATATCTGCCGATAGGGTATGTCGGATATGAACATGTACAGTGCAGTGGGGTGCCATATCTTTTCGATATTCCTGACGTCATTTATTTTTGCGTTTACTATCATTCGTTTAAATTTTTCTGCTTTGGTACGATGGGAAGAAATAAAAGTAAAGACATGGACGATGTAGTGAGATAAGCAATTGCCAGCATGTATAGGAGACGTTATAAGATATCAAAGATATCTCGGATGCTGTTCAATAGACCACGATCTACTATTAACTATCACCAGTGTTATCTTCAAGTGGCTAGGTACTGATAAAGTTAAGAAGTCAAAAAAAAGAAGAAAGTTAAGGCATGTGCAGATTATCAGTCGATTCAACTTCGTCTACTTACTTTATTATTAACCGTTTATTCAATTTTACACAACCAACAAATTATGATTATCTGCTTCAATGTCATATAGATACTGATTTAAATAACCGAAGAAAGGAAAAAGAGTACCAGCTCGATGAAAGCATTCTTAGAGACAGTAGAAATTATAGGAAGTTTTTCGTTAAAGAACCCTGCCTGGGTAAAATTGAACTTGAACGTGGGATGAAAAAAGTATGCCTGCTCTGCAGCAAGTATACAAGAAAATGGAAATGAACAGAGGGACTAGGGAGTAGGGAGGTATTGTTGCCATCTAAGGCCCCCCCCCTGGATCAAACCAGGAGATTAGCCAGCCTAGGCTCAGACAGTGAGATCAGAACTACGACCGTACTTGTCATTTAATCGACCAGATCAACATGTTTTACATGACGTGAAGAGGTCATATTCTCAGTAAGCTTTGGAAAAGTGTAGTCTAGAAACAAATGCATTTTGTTAGAGCAATACCAGTCTGACTCAACTACTTGAGCAGTACTAGCAAACGGATATCACATGGAGTCGATTAATAGATATTCACCAATTTTTTAAAGAAATACGAATAGGATCTAACAATACAAAATCGACATATTTGATCTCAACAATGATCTACAAGAAGGGCAAAAAGTTATAACCGTGCCCAGCAAAAAAAACGGGGCCAGAAATAATATTGCTCTTTTATACTAAATTATTACCAATAATTTATACACCATTTAAAAAATAGTACGCATTTGTGAACTACGCGAAAAGATATTAACTTGAACAATACGAGTTTTCAATGTTAGGTTATGAACAATGATGTTTACCATTGGCATTATTAAAATATTGACCAAACTTCCAAAAAAACTCCAAGGAAGCTTTGTGCAATTTTGGCAATACATTTTTGAACGCTAAGTCCGTATTTATTCAGGTAGCTATCATGAAGAACAGGATCAGAAGCTACAACAGGCTAAGCCTTAGCACTCGACTCAGCCATCCTAGAGACTTTTGATTTTTATGCCAATTTAAATTAAGACAATGAGCATTTCATAAAGATGTATATTGTTGCTAATGAAAGAGATTTTAACGGAAAGGGTAAGCGAAAGAGAGACAATATCTGTAGCAATAGATATTTAAATATGTGGGCATTATGGATAATGACCTGACTAGCGTCGGCTTTTTACGGCCATCCACATTCCACAAGGGAGTATCACCTCAATAAATATAACAGATTTGTAGGGTTGTAATTTTACGTCGTTTCATGCCTTCATATTATCATAATCGCCATTTAATAGTACCAGTAAGAACTTGTAAATTTCTTTCTCAGCGTCAGGGAAAGCTCATCATGAATAATAACTAATGCAATGTAATCTACTATTGATATGTGCAAGTCCTCAATGCTTCAATAAAGATGAGTGATTACAGTCACAAACCATTGCGAAGATCCTTTTATCCAGGTACATATCATTTTTCTGATATGCCACGTTTTGTGTGATCAATCTTTAGTTTCTAATACTAAAAGCAAGGGTTCTTTACCGACAAGTATAATCTCGAATACGTTCACAAACTGAACTGCTTGATCGTTGAGGGCACGAGTAAAAGATGACAGGAGAAGACACGAAAAAGGGCAACGAGAGCCGTCATTGTACTTTTTTTTCCTCCCCAGAGAAAAAGATAACTTAGACTGAATAAGAAACTTAGATTTGCGAAGTAAAGAATATAATTTTAATCAGACGAAGTGCTCTGTCTATGATATATGATATCAAGTCTTCGATTTATTTGTCGGCGTCGACAGTTAGCCTTCCTTATGCTATGGTGGCTTTCACAACGCGTCCCCATTCTCCAACTCCTGCTGCTAGAGAGAAAGACTCCCAAATTATATCCCATAAATATATTAAACATAGATATCGACAATAGACTCCGAGAGTCTTTAAGTTCTGTTACCACCGCCCCTGGTGCAACCCAGGGACAGGGACTTCCAGGGACGGTATGATATCAAGCCAACATAAAGACAGGTTGTGAGGTTACAATTATAATGGAAAATTTAATTGTTCGGTTAATTAAAACTGTAACTATAAGAAGAGGCTATGCAGAATTTAAATTTAAGGAGAGCTGAGCATTTTCATGTTTTAACATTTCCGGCAAATGACACAATACTACTAATGTCCTGGGAATAAATTAATATTAGCATACCCATTGCCTGGTATATATATTATGTAACTTATATATTATGTGGGTAGGTGATCACATAATGATTGTGAAATGAACATAATGATAGAAGCTTGAGTAACATTATTGTCAATAGTTTTTGAAGCTTTAGTGGTTACAATACACTACAAAAAGTAAACAGTACATAATAATAAGACAAGCCTTAACTTTAAGACTTCAGTTAACTTAAAACAGTTTTATAGCACTTAGAACTACGAAATATGGCGAATATTTGAAATTTGAATGCTACTTGACATTTTAGCGATACAGTAGCACCATTTTAAAGAACAAAATAAAAAAACTAAACTTAAGTCCAAAATGATTCTCTCATCGTTATTATGAGCTTGTAGAACTGAGACCGAATGATATAAAAGTTACTAACAAATCTAACAGGAAATCAGGAAGAATATGAGCTGGGTTTATCTCTACAACAGTTGCAAACAGCTCTACTTAAAGATATAAACAATATAGGTATGGCATACCACTCTTCAACCTCGGTTGAACTTAATTTTTCGGACTATCAATGAGACCAAGTAAAATATAGAATTGATTTAGTTAGATTTATTATTTTAATTCTATTATGTCACCTGACTAAAAATAAGCGTTTGACAAGTCGCTCAATGTTTCACTATTTTTAGACTTTTTACTATACTCAATGATATTTGAATAACTCTAACATCAGATAGGACTAAGAACTTTCTAAGGGCTCATGAAGCAAATTCCGTCCGTTTCAGAAAGAAAAAAAGGCATGAGCATTAACTAATAACTTTATAAACTAAATGCTCATGTAAATGCTCATATATAAATATCAATAAGTATCTGCTGTAGAATTTGCTGCTTGATTAAAAATATTCAGAATCAGGAACGAAGAGTTGCAAAACGCACACAAATAATTTGCAAAAAAACAGTCACAGAGATACTGACAAACTGACTTCGAGACCTACATTGCTATTACTGTAGTATTAATACGTAAACAAGTTATTTATTATTACATAGATTTTGGACAGGAAAACCACAGAAGCATTAGATGACTGACCTGTAGATTGTATCTTGGGCCAGTTCCCTTGGTGGACAACAAATTCCTGTCTCCTCCGTCGATTCTGCTTTTGTTCTACAGGAGGCAACTCTTGTTCTAGACTATCATATTCTCCATTAATGTGCGCCTGGTGAAGAAAATGCTCAATTTATGGATATCAAGTGAATTGATTGAATATGTTACTGACCACTTTTATTGACTCAAAACAATGAAAATGGATCAGACAATCAATTAGTAACAATTTTGGAATGACAAAGTAATTAAGTAAAGTATAATCATTATATAAATAATGTGAAGACTGCAAAAAAAGACAATTAACTGTTGTCTTGAAAAAAAATTATTAATTATCAATCATGAAGTTTAATGATCGAACAAGTAGCCAGAAGAAAATGTGGGGGGGGGGTGTTAGGGGGGCAGAATTTTCTCAAAATTATCAGGGGAGGCACATAGGTGTGTTTTGCCACTGAGTGCTAATGGAAGTAACCCAACCATTTAAGATGTGTAAAAACTAAATAAAAACCAAAACTGTACTTACATCCCCTGCAGTCATTCTGACGATAGGAAAAACCACTTTAGTGGCGTTTTTCCATTTGGTGAGGTGTGATGAAGCAAGGTCTTGATCATCCTTCTCCCCCATTTGCGAATTGAAGTGTCTCAAAGTTAGTTTTTTGGGGTCAAGGACTATTTCCCCCAGATTTCTGTAAGGATTAGTGACAGATGAGTAGTGGCCACAACTCCAGTACTTACGCTGCCGGGATAACCGAGAATGGTTTCGGGTACATTTTACATCTGAAATATCTAAGTTAATACAATGGTCAATGTTTTACTGTACATTGTACAATTATAATCTAACACTAACTTTAAAAGTGGAATGCACATTTTTGCTGTTGCTAAGATACCTATCATATGAGTATAACAAGTAATAACCTGCACTATTGCTGTAAGGTTTCTCGATGTATTCCAATCCATTTCTACATGTCACTTTACCAAGGACGTTTGTATTTGTTCTTGGAATCACATATTTACTCTTTATACCATTAAAAAATCGATTGAGGTCTTGTTTGTCATAAGCTTTCTCCATGCTATCAAGAAGCAATTATCAAGAACATATAGACTGAAATTGGAATAATCAAAATTTGATAGAAACTCAGACTGTTAAATCAATGAGCATTGAGCAGCATTGAATAAATATATCAAAACAATAAATATATCAAAACAATAATACAGGGTTTTACAAGACTCGTGTCCAAATTTTAAATGGCTCTCAAAATCTAACAAATGATACAAACAGTTTAATTTTTGTTTTAAGTTGTAGACAAATTATTACATTTTAAAATACATTAATCAAAAATAATATTTTAGCAATTTTTCGAACCCAGCCCCCTTTTTGCATTAAAAGGTTTTGAATCCTTGGAAGCGTATTATACATACTGTTTATTGCACGTTTTACCATGTCAAGTTTTAACTTCTTAGCCTCGGCCCTTCTTATATAATAGTTTTTCGGCTGATCTATTGTTTTTGGGACTGGATATGAATGAACACAATCTTTAATATAGCCCATAAAAAGAAATCAGCCGGAGTCAGGTCAGCGCTGAAGTCTGCTTTCCTTGAGTCTTTCAGTCTTTCTCCAAAATTTTGATATATGCTACTTCAGCCAAGCCAAACTTTCGTGAGACATGAAAGCAGTGTCAATCCTTTTTCAAATTTCGTCACCTGTTACTAATATGAATAGTCTTGAGATAAATTTTCCTGCGCGCCTGCGTTACCGTATTTCTTCGAAATTACCCTTCGATCCCAATATACAGGGTGGCCCAAAAGTGACTATCAGTGATCTCGTTACCCAATCTGATCAAGAGTAAGGTGTTTGCGTGTATTAATGAGGTTCATGACGACCTGATCATGATTGATTGGATACCGATATAAATGACTTTGCTAGACAGGAAAACACCAAGTTTTAGGATAAATCAATAAATGAAATCAACTTATCAAAATTCCCACACAAAAACAATTCAATAATTTCAATTAAGATGTTCAAATTGTCGTCCCCCAGCTGCAATCACCTTGCGGTACCGCTTCTTTACAAGCGTTCATAGCAAACACTGCAATGCAACTGGGTCCATATTATGGATGATGTTGATCAGGTGGTGCTTTAGCTGCATGATGTCTGCAATAGGATATCTCTTATAGAGTTGGTCCTTCACCCACCCCCACAGGAAGAAGTCACACTGTCACACGGTGTAAGGTCATGACTTCTAGCCGGCCAGTGTGTTCCAAGATGTTGTCCGATGGTTCAGCTGTATAGGCCATCCCATAAGCAGGCTGCAACCAATCTAGCGGTGCATGTGAGCCAAACAGGCCATTAACCAAGTGACGAGATCACTGACTGAGTGCTCGGATCACGTAATCGATGGATTTTGAAATGTTCATAACTCAGCCAAATGTTGAACAATGAACTTGAAACTTCGGGAAAGGTTTTAAATTATCAAGCCAAATGTTTGCCAAAAATTTTGAGTTCTTAGCTGAAAGCGTTCTCATTTTATGAAGATAATAGTGAAAAAGAGTGAGTGTCACGCCACGCCCACTGTAATTGGGCGTGGCTTACGATACTTTCAGGAGATCTAAGTTTGACCCATATCTATAATCTCTGAAATTTTGGTGCAATTTGGAGACGAATTACATGAGTTATTAAGAGGTTGCGTGTGGGTAGTCACTTTTGGGCCACCCTGATATATATTATTATTATAAAACAGGATCTTACCGACAAAAATGATTCTTAAAAATACCTTGATGCGGTAAACTGTACCCTTGAAAAAGATTTTCCCAACATCTGTTGCATGCAGCTATATCTCTAATTTCGTTCAATTCATACAAGTTGTCCATTTGCAAATTTCTACTATTTAAATCACTTCTTAAAACCGATAACAAGTTCATTCTAGGTCTCCCCAATCTTCCAATGAATAAATTATCTGATTCAATAGCAAATGAGAGAGCCGTTTGGGCTGGGGTGTTCTCCATACTCCTGAGAATGTGTCCAAACATCTTCCACCGCTGGTGTTCAATACGCTTGGATAACTTTTCAACTTTGCACCTTTCATACAATGCTTTGTTGCTTATCATACCTTTAGGCCATTTGATGTTTAAAATGGACCTGAGGTGTCTACGATGGAGTGTGTCCATTTTCTTCATGGTTGCTTTCTTAGGACTCCAACTATTTGAGTTGTAAATCAATACAGATACAACTTGAGCATCGTATAACCTCAGCTTTCTTTCAAGGGATATTTTCTTACCAGACAGCCAAACTTTTTCAAAGTTCTTAAAAGCATATATATACACAACTCTAAAACTCTGGTCACAAGAGCAACTGCCTAAAAATGCAGAAGTGACAACAAATACATAAAAAATACTAGCAGTCCTCAAATTTCGCAATAAATAAATTCGTTCAATGTCATAAAATTCTTAAAACCATATATTATATATAATATATATATGTAATATGTAACCAACAAATAATTTAATTGATCTATAGACTACTGTATAAAATTCTCAATATAAATTTTCATAATAATATAGTATATGCTTCAATATTAAAACTGTTTATGTATAGCACCCCTGCAGTATTATCCATTGTTGAGATGTAGCCATTTTCGTCCGGTCTAACAATGAACCCGGCTCACTAATCATATAGGGATGGTGTAGTATAGTAGTTGGAATATGATCAACTTTTTTACAGTTTTACCTCAATTCGAAGGAATTCTTCTGCATCCTTTGTTATTTCAAATGCTAAATCAAGGAACTCTGCTCCATGATATCAACAATTCAACATTGATTTCCCACCATAACCGTGGTTAAAGATGTTGTGGAAATGGTGTCTTTTGAGAAGCATGCTGTTCCTTTTATCCCAAGGCGCACGTTATATCTCCGCCAAAAGCACATTCAATTTGATACGTATGAAATATGTCTATAACTTCCTTGATTGTGCATTAAGTTGGTGTTACACGACCAAAATTGAACGGGGAATCGTTTAAGATCACTTTCGAGGTACCTCGACAAAAGCTCATCACGCTATTGTGCTTTTTATGGAAAATACGTCAGTACCGTTTTTGAGCTTGCCATTCTCTTTCAAAAGTATTCCAAGTGATTTGTATAAGTGCACATATTGACTCTGAATACATTGCAAAATAATTTTCCTTGATTCATGAATTTTGAAAGAATTACAGCAATGCGCGCAATTTGGGGAGTGTGCTTTTGGCATGGCGGAGGTATAAACTGCCCCTTTACTTTATCCCAATAGCAGATTATAGAGTATATTATAGCAGCCGTCGAAAGCTGCTACCGTTGACAAAAAAGCTTAGCCGTGTTTACTCTCATTGTTGGCGACGTTTGACTACAAATGGCAATGTTTGATCGAAAACCTGGTTTGAGCTCCCCCTGTGTCATATCAAAGCAAATCAAATGTTTTACTGAAAAATTAAAAACTATAAATTTTAATTTATATTAATTTAATTGACCAATTTTGTTAATAAAAAACACAAAATTGAAAAATCAAAACCTAATTTTATTTTTTGTGTTTTAAAATATTTTTGATACGTTAAATGTAAAAACAAAATTTGCACGCCGCAAATACATTTTACGTATCGAAAATATTTTAAAACAACATTGAAATTCATTCTCACGATAAAAAATTGTAGCGCGATGCACTACTGGGTCGCGCCGCGCATCAAATAATTCGCCTCGCATCAAATGATTCTTCTTCGCTGGACCGGCAAAATGCACCAATGAGCCTCGCCGAGCTGTGGAGGATTAGCATCGTGAACCAAAGTAATTAAAACAGCACGCCATGTGATCAGAATTTAAATTTGACGTGCACTATATTTAATTTTTGAGACAGCTCGACAAAAGCTATTAACGTTATTTTGCTTTTTACAGAAAAATAAGACAATAGTAAGTCAAATATTAATTAAGGTTAAGTCTTAACATCTGTTTGACATACGTTGCATGCCACTTTTCGCGCGCGAAAAATATCTCTGATATTTGGATACGAAACATGTATCAAACATTTGTTTATGGATGCCATCCACAATCCACTGGATCAGCTTCCATAATACCGGCTTAAAGGTAATCTTACTATCTAGATAATAAATAAATATAAACATTTTTCAAACAGTATACACATAATGTCACAATGACCCTATATAAAAAGAACCATTCAAAAACTCAATATTTTGAAAATAACCCTTGGCCTTGTGGCTCCAAGTTCAATTCTAAACTGTCTATATTGATAATTCCTAAACGGAGCAAAATGGACTAGTTCTGTAAGTTGCTACTGTATGCCTATAATAGATCACCTAATTGTAGTACTAGTAATTAGAAGAAGCTATAGCAGTTGCAGTGCAGTGCCATTACTTCATTGGTTGCAATCATATCATGAATAACCATATTTTTGGTTTAACTATTTAACTATTCATTTTACTTCATCAATGCCGGCTTGTGAAACTTGTAATCGTAAAATATTATACAACGCGACGCGACGGAAACGTGATGATAAAATTAGCGCGATACTTTAATCATCACGATGTTTCTGTTGAATGTGACGTGCAAGGTTGCGCCTCTGAGCAAAATCCTCGTTGCATAAGTCACACAGATATCGTTGACCATCATGGGTTTTAACATGAGGGCTTAATGGACAAATATGTTCTTAAGAGAGACAAAAGTAATGAAACCGCGTTACACGATGCTATCAGAAACGGTAAGTTTCTAGTTTAAAAATTCTTTTTAAGGCAACTTTGCTGAGTTAGATTTCGTCCTCAAACCCGAAATACAATTTTCCAATCATCCTTCAATTTTGTAGGTAACACAGAGTGTTTTTTTAAATTTGAAAATTCAATTAATCATTATATATATAAATCAAGCGTTACATTTCAGCCATGCAAAATTACAATGACATATTTTGATATACTAATTGATAAATGGTACTGCAATATAAGTTGCTTAATGTTTGGCCGGATGACAACTAACGAGAAAAATAAACTTGATTACATAATAATTAATTCGGCTGAACCAACACATAGCAAGAGCCACATTAACGTTGGGGCCGTAAATGAAAGAATAAGTTAC